CCAGTGGACTTGGCAGACAAACCAACAAGATGCCTACAGCACGACCGCCATTGAGCCCAGTTTCTCGCCATATCCTGCAGTGTTGATAAAGATATAAATAGTGAGAGACAAGCAGAAGCAGCAGACAGATAACAGCAGAAAATAGTGAAGTTACAAAGCAAGGAAAAGTTTGGTGAGAAGTTAACTATCGTAGAAGTGATAGGCCTAACGTTTAATATGTTAGAGTAAGACTAACAGGAGATAAGAAGAAGAATTATTCTGTCAAAGCATGGTTCTAAAGTAACTGAATCAGACTGAGTGCACTTTGACAAAAGAAACAGAGTATACTTAGAAGAAAGAAGATCAAACAATTACGGTAACTCGTGCAAAAATTGTAAGTGAATCACATACAGAATACTAGTGCGTTAGTAATAGAGAAGATAGTTTGGCTTGTCAACTGAAATTCTAAAGTATTGGAATAGGACTAAGTGTACCATTGACAAGAAGAAGAGAACTATATTTATAGTGTATATGATATGTCTATAATCTCTATAGTATGAAGAATTTCTTGTACATACGTTTAATTTGTTCTGAATATTAAATAAATATCATATGTATTAAAATACTTTTCACAATTAAACTGTGTGTTTAACACATGCACATTTTAAAGAGGTTTATTATGTAAATATACATTGGTCACTTTTTTTTGTTATTTTTGTTGGAAGGACAGAATGTTTGCCAAGCATTACAAAAGTAAAAGTTATTAATACTGTAGTGCAGTTAGAAATATGGTATATTAACAATACATGCATTTTCAAAACTTGTTTTAATGTTAGTGGCTTTTATATGGTACCCTTTGTTTGTTTTTTTTAACTTGCTGCTTAATTTAACGTATTTGCCATTCCAACAATTTTAACCCATGCGCCAAGCCAATAATGAACAGTGACTTGCAATGTTTACTTGTTTCAAAGATGCATCTGGCACTCATTCATTATTGCTAAAGTGTCAAAACTTCAGCAACAGTTTGAAACAATCATATGGCATAACAGTATTAACAAGCAGAATAGACCAGTTGACCAATTAACAAATTAACTTGAACATTCACCTGGTCTGTACAATCCAGGCCTTTTTAGATCATCAGACTCAGAATCACTAGGCTCATAATTACTATCGCTAGCTACATAGTCCTTCTCAAATGACTCTGAATCAGCTTCTTGTAAAATACTGTTTTACTTAAACTAGAATGTTTGAGCAACCCTGGTAACTTGTAGCTATAATGGTAGCCAAAATGAACCACTGCAGAAATCTTGGGTCACATGACTTGAAACTTTACTGAAATTTTTTTCTCTGTCATTTACAAAAGAACAGCAATGACATAATCATTTGTACAGTGCTAAGAGACTGTTTATCTGTACACTCACATGTAGTTGTAACCCCTTTACTGACTGATGTGTTAACACATCAGTAGTACCTGATTAATAGAAATGGCTGATGCATTAACATGTTAATAGCAGCAAATGTGTTAAAGGAAATTGAGTTGCATGTTCTCTCTCAGTACTGTATGCATATTCAGTTTAGTACTAATGTAAGTTGTCTAAAATAATTTGTGATGCATATATTCTTTTAAATTTACAATGGACTAACAAATAAGGAAGTTTGGTTTTGATTATGAGATCTTACCCTGATGGTCCTATCACAAATCTGACAAATTCTGGCAGGGCTCTAGCTCTATAAATGTGATCATTATACCAATGTCAAAGTTATTAAAAGTAAAACTAGAATAAGGTTAGAGCTTTACAAGAAGTGGAAGTGCCAAACTATGTTAATTTATAATGGTCTTCAATTTAGCAATTAGATCTTTTGTTGCTGTACACCCTCAACTCTACTAATTACAACAACTTGTGATATTAATACTGCATTTTGTTAGTACATGCCATGAAATACTCAAATAATTCTCAGGTTTCTTAGGAATGTTTGTTTTGATATGGGTAGAAACCCCAAAGTTTCAGTAGATTACTGTAAAGTGCTAAATGCTTTTTAAATATAATTTAAAAAATAAACTTTATGCTATAATTGTATGGATTTTTTTTTGTTTAAGGTTACTCCCAAATCCTTCAAATAAATGTAACTTATCTATATTTATTTTACTAAAACCTAAGGAATGGTTAAACAAGCCAAATGTTTAGCTTTGTTTAAACCAGGTAACTTACAACATAATAAAAAAAAAAGAATAAAAGCTTATAAAGACTAGTGATAACTACTTTCAACTTACAGACTAAAAGGAAAGCAGCTAATCAACAACCACAACCACCAACTCTTCCATTTCTCTTGTATGACCAAAGTGTGGGAGCTGACCATCACCTTTATAATGCATTAACAGTACAACAGTGCAGAGTAATTGAACAATGGGTCTATAGATTCACAGTCAGCATACTAACGTCTGGATCATGCTCAACTCTGTATTAGATGGACATACACACACGAGAGATGCAAACATTCACCTACTGATTCATTAAAAAGGTACCTAACTGTCTATAATAAGTGGAAAAGGGTATTCAAGCAGACAAAGCATTCATAGCTGAAGACACACAAAATGTTTAAACTAGAGAAATTAGCAATTTATATGTCCACTGTTAAAGGAAACACTTGTTTTGATCATCCCATACATAAAGCATATAATTCTGATAGTTCTTAAAATAAACAAAAGTTGCATAAAAATTCATAGTTAAGGTAAAACTCAAAGTAGCAAAATCTGGAAAAATTAGCAGTATCTTTATTAATTATAACATCTGTAACTGAAATATGAATGTAATTTTACATAAAACTAATATCTATTTTCTAATTCATAGAAAGCATAACCAAACTGAAATACATAATTTTTGCAGACACTGAATTTGAAAGTTAGTTCTTTAATTTTCTTTCACAATATCACATAATAACTCTTCAATTGGCTGAACTCACAACACAATACTCCTTTGAAATTTTACAAAAATGTTTGAAATTTCTCAGATTGACAAATTTTTTAGAATGAAATTGTATACATTTACGTAATAGCTTTTACCAGAAGACCTGCTAAAATTCTTGAATAATAATTGCAATTAATAATAACAGTCTTAATTATGAGTAACAGCCAAACTACTAAAAGCTTCAATGACCACTCTCTGCCATTGATAATCAATTAGTTACCCTCATTACTAGCAATGTTTTTGGTCGTTACATGCAAAGTTATATTTTTGGCCAAATGTAGCTCTTCAAGAAAGATGTATAGTAAATTAGCTGAAACTTCCGTTACAATTCTACTTAATATATTAAGGCAATGAATGATAGTCACATACAAAGGAATCAAGTTTACTGCACTCTTTTAATAAAATAAAATAAGTAATACTATTAAAACAAACAATGAGAAAACCAGGTTTCAGCACAAATATGAAGTTACAAAGTTAGCGGTAATAAATATCAAAACTAAGAAAAAACTTTTTTTTTTAAAGCTAACAACCAATTTTCTAACTAAAATATTTCTACATTAATAATCTCAAATATTTATTTTTTGGTATTAATATTCTCTGTTTATTATTAATTGGGTTAAAATCTAGCACATTTACTACTGTAACTTAATAATAAATATTCTGCTCTTTCAAAACCTTATACTTCCTAGAATACTTAAAACAATTACCACCTAGACACAGCAATGGATGTAACACATTCATCTGTTCACCTTAGGTTTAGAAGCAAGTCTGTTATCATAACATGAAAAATAAATTACAACTGACTGTTCATTATGCTTAGAATAATGATACACATTTGCTAAAACAAGAGAAAATAATAATGTAAATTTCTAAAGGTCAAACAAATTGGAAACTAAAACTGTTTTTGATAAAATTAAAAAACATATAAAACAACACTGCAAAAGGACCCCCTGAATAGCTGTATATAACAAGAAAAGTAGTTTAATTTTATAGTTCTGCCACTAACCTGGTTATAGTTATTAACATTTGAGTAGGTCTGAACACCAGTGTTACTATCCATGTAAATCCTCACTTGGTTGTCTGTCATCTGGGCTGATACTGAAGGTGTTTGTCCAGCTAATGTACAAGGTTGTCTTAACTTCTGCTTCTTGTATCTTTAGAAAACCAAGTTTATCAGTATAAACTATCTCAACTAACTTTCATAAAGATAAGAAATAATTTAATTTTTAAGTATTAAGCCTGAAAGCAGAAAGTAAACTTTTCACCAATAAAGTTGCAGTAGTCTCATTTGTTCAAAAGTGATTTACTATCACACACTATTGGTTAACCCTTTAGCTCAATTGATAGAGCACTCACCTTGCATGTGACAGGTCTAAAGTTCAACTCGTACGCAAGAAAATACACAGAAAATAATGAAGAATAAAAATTACCACACTAACACTCAACATGGGGCCATCCCATGACCCTGAAATTAGGTCTGAGGACAGGCCTTATTTGAAAGTGGGAAAGAATATAATCATTTCAGCTGTTATAAAAAAAAGTGCCTTACTGATGGTTGTTACTGGGTTAACCCTTTAGCTCAGTTGGTAGATCATTTACTTGACATGCGACAGGTCTCAGGTTCATATCTGAGTCATGAAATATATATCGTGAAAAAAGATATTACCATGAACTATAAAATAATCACCTACCATTCTCACCAATAAGTATGAAAAAAAAGATGATGTACTGATACAATGAATTCCCTTAACAATCTTAACTTTTTCAGGGCCACCAGAGTAATATTATGTCAAATAATTTGATTTCTTTTCCCATTTAAAATGCTTAACATAAATGCATGAAATTTGGTACACACGTTTAGTATTTCTCTAATATTTTTTGTTGTGAATTTTTTGAAGTTTTGATCAAAAGCTATTTTTGAAGTACATTAAGTGATACTTATACTAACTACACACAAGAGAAAAAACAAAACAAAACCTTTTCTGCCATTTGTATAGTTTGCCTTTAGTCTTCCTAGCTTATTGTATTCACTGACCCTATATATTCTGATGTGATGTTCTCATTTGAGTATTCTTGTAGTTTTAAAAAAATAAATATAACACAAAAAGATTAACATGCATGAAAATATCACCAAAATAAACTATATAAAAAAATCCCAGATTTGTGGTGTTTCCTTAAATTTTGTAAACTGTTTATTAGACTCCTTTATTCTCCACTATAAGAACTTCTGTTAATTACATTCTCAGAGACCACACGTTATAGCTTACCCCAGTTTATTTGCTTTACAATGATGTAAATAAACAAGAATCTTTTCCATCCAATCATTTTTATCCATTGCTTCTATATTATTTTGAGGCTAAGATTTATCAATTACTGTCCAACCCACTTGCTGTAACATCATACAAACCTCCCAACACAAGGTTCTTGAAATATTCATCGAGAGAAAAGTAATGTGAAAAACAAAAGTTTTGATAAGTATTTCTAAGGGATGCAAGGGTCTGAGTAAATATCAGTTCTACTTTGGGACAGGCAGAAAAATTATTGCATTGTTTACATGTAATATCCATTGGAGCTACACAAAGGTCAAAGTTCAAACACTTAAAATTTTTCTTTGCAAATTATACTAAATCAGATATCAATTACTAAATATTTTCAAATCAACAAAATTACTGACAATGAGTGAAAAAAGTGAAATTTGATATGAAAGCATGCCCTCAATCCTGGATAGCTGCCCTGCAGTCCTTACAGGGTTAAACACCTCAATTAGATCATCTCTAACTTTTTTTTTCAAGAGAAAACAATTTAAGAGATGTTAACTTATCCTTCTGTAACAATCTTTCTTTCCCAGGTATCATCTTAGCAACTCTCCTTTGAACCTTTCCAACAATTCAATGCCCTTCTTAACCCATTTACTGCGGTTGGGACATATATTTCCCAGTGCTGTGGGAAACATACATCCCAGTTGCAGTGAAAGGGTTTATCTAAGAAAACCAAAATTGAACAAAATACTAAGTAAGGTTGAATAAGTGACCTATACAATGAAATTGTAACCTATTTATACTTACATTCAATATTTCTGTACACGACCTAAAACCCTATTTGCCCTACCACTTAGCAGCAGCACACTGCTTAGATGGCTTAAGAGATTGATCAACCAGAATAACAATATCATTTTCTTCCATATCACTGTTAATGTTATACCCATCAAAATTATAATTTATATTATAATAACCCACATAGCATTACCTTGTATTTATTTTAACTAAAAACCATCTACCATTTATTCACCCATCTAACCAAACAATCCACAATTCTTGTAAAGCAGCAGCATCCTCCTCACAGCCAGCAACACCCAGTATCTTAATATCACCAACAAATTTAAGTAATTTGTCATAGATGTAAGTCAATGAAGAATAAAGATCCCAACACTGAGCCCCACAGTCACACCTGAGACAATAATTCATTTTGATTGAACTTAAATTTAAAGCAACCCTTTATAGCTTTGTGGATAATTCATGCTGAGGAGAGTCAAAACCTTGGGAGATGAATATATAATCTAAATGATCCATAAAACTCACTTACTTATTCATTTTTTTATACATACATATAAAAGTTGACCTTATATGCCTGGGTCATTGGTATAATGATAAAATAGAATACGATGTAATGAAACCCATCTATAAGAAATAGTACTGTCAAAGCAGTCTGTGCACAATCACTGGAGTATGTCCCAAAAATACAAATTTAATTAAAAGAAGAAAAACAAAATTTAAGATAACTGGAATCAAAGATCTAAATGAATTGTTTAAAATATGGGATCTTTAATTAAGAAAATAATGGGAAAAAAAGACTACATGATGAATAGTAATGAAAGTATATCAATTCTGTTAATTCTTAAGAATAAACAAGTCTGATGAAAGTAGCATTGAGGAAAAGAATGAGTTTTGTTGTAGCATTAGAGCTCACAAGAAGGATATGTTGCCTTCCTATTAGTGGAGGGCTATAATCTAATGATTACATCATAGGATGCTGTACTCCACATTAATACCTGTAGGGGGAAAAGTTCCATTAAAGGTTTGTGACAGGTGCAAAAATCTTCTCAACAGACGCACAAGGTAATATCAGTTTGTTCTGTGGAGAAAAGAATAGCATTTCTAAATAAAATGTTATCAAGTGGAGTATTTGAGTATGGTTTGTTAGTAATAAACCAGCCTTTGAAGTCTTATTCTAAGCCAATGTATCACTGTACATTAATTTTTATCCATTACTGTACTTTTGTAATTACTATTAAATAACTAATTTTTAAAATTTTAAACATGATTCTAAACTCGTGTCTTGTATTTTGAAATATGATACATAATAATATTAGCATGGAATATTTAAGGTATAGTAACATTTGTAATATGATACACATTAACAGGTATGCATGTTTGAGCTCAAATGCTTAGATAGCAGTGCAATACACTGTGGATGTACTCAGATTTAACAACTACTGAAAAGCTTGTTACAATCTGACTCTGAAGTTAAGTTACTAACTAGGTACATTATGGCTGTTTTATAACTCATAGAGAAATGGAAGAAACATCAGCTAACTTAGTAGCAAATAAGATGATGTCATCCATATGTAGGAAAAACTACAATTTCGTCTTTTGCTAATATTTTTACTCCATTTCTACAACTACTGATGAAGAGTGCAAATTCAACCACAAAACATTAAAGGTATGATCTTTTTACTTCTTCAATGGTAGTATCAGTTAAAGGCAATTTTTGACATAACTTGGATATTAAAATTTTAAGCACTATATCTATGGTTTTCTGAATTGAAGCTATAAATGTATTCAATACAATGCCACCAACAACATTCTCTAAAATATTTTAAGCCATAATAATCAAATAAAAAAGAACTGAGTGGAGTATTACATCATACATTCATAAAACAAGAGTGATTAAAAGTTTTGCGAGTAATTTTTTAACTAAGAAGCTGCCTGTATATTAAGTACAAAAATACAAAAAAAAATAGTTAAAACCACATTACTGGAAAAATACTTAAATGGCCATTGCTTTGAATAAATTAGTATATTTTACTTACACAACTGACAAATTAGCCTTTTACAGGATCTTGCAACTGTATTTATACTTATATATATAATAATTTTTTCACTAAGATAAAACTTTTGCAACCTCTTGTCTAGTCTCACCTACTATTAATTACCATGTATTTATACACAATAGAAAAAGTAGTTTCCCTCTATGTAAAACTGACTGTCATTTGTATGTAGCTTGAAGGCAAAAGTAATAATTTCACCAAAACTGTTGAAGTGTGATGACCGAGTCACTGCTCTGTATAGTAATGAGATTTTTTTGGAAACCCACATATAGCTTATTTAGAGACCCAGATAAATTACATAGATTTTGTGTAGACTAATAAAATATAATATTTTGATTCTCTAAAATTTATATATGAAGCCCACAAAAATTAATATCTCTGCACCCTCCACTCGGAAGAATAAATAAGGCTTACGGCAAGGCTTAGTACGTGTGATGCATGAGCACAGTATTTTGTAACATCGTAAGTACTCAAAATCTTTGTTTTTCAGTGTATTTCTTATTTATTGTTCTATGTTTTAAGAACAATAACTATTTTAAACATTTATGAGTAAATAGTAATATATATATATATATATATATATATACACCCACACACACACACAATGCTATGCAATACATTAATTGTTCAAAGACAATTGAAATCAAAATCATAAAACAATAATGAACTTAATATAAACCAGAAACAATATAACAGAATTGAAACTGAGAATTATACCTCCATTATCATTCTTTTTTATCATCTTTAAGTCATATAAGATAATGCCTATGGTCATTACTGTTATTAGAAACTATTAAAAAATCTTTTTAATTGGGATGTAATAATCCCTTTTAACAATAGTAGGCAATCACGAGATTAAAAAAATAACCGATGAACATCTAGGTACATTGCTAGTTATGATCAATACAAGCAAACCTGTGGGATTATGGCCCATATTTACAGAGCTGCTATAATTCCTTCATGCATAATGTTAATTTATTCATAAATAAACTGAAAAATAATGGTTATCAGGACTAGTTTATTAAAAGTTTTTATATTCTTTTATAACAAATGTGAAACTATATTAAGAGTTAAGCTATTGTTCATGGAGACTACATTATGGAAAATTTAGAGGGCATAATTTACTTGGTTTAAGTAGCTAATTGTCACTTTTAGAATAGTTCAGTATGCTGGGGTGGAATGAACAACATCAGGTAGTTCAGCTTGTCTCAGCTCACCCGGTATATGATTGAACAGTAAGAATCTTTCAATTTGTTTAACATCACTATTAAATAAAAGGGTGGGGGTTAGGAGTTCAGTAGAAATTTAAGGGTAGCTCATTTCTACTATAAGAATGTTATTATTACTTATATCTTTTAATATATCAAATAAAAAGGATGGAGGTTGAAAGTTCTGTAGAAACTAAGTATGGCTTATTTCTACTATAGGAATATTATTTTTATTTTTTTTATAACATCAATTAAAAGGGAGAAGGTTGGGCATTTTACTTTATAGAATTTTTATCGGGTTGGCTTAATTCTACATTAAAGTTACTTCTAAATATTAAGGATAACTGCCTTCCCACAACTGGCTACAGACAGTGAAAGGCAGTTGAAGTTGAGATGTTGTGGGTTCAAGCACTCAAATTCTAACCCTTAAGTGATTCTCCTTAGTTGCTGGTGAATTTTACATAGGTTTTTGTATTTTGTCTGATAGATTGAATATCAACAAGGAATAATAATGGAGGCATAATTTTAAGTTTCAATTCTATTATATTGTTTCTGTTTTATATATACAGATAGATAGATACACACACATATGTAATGTATGGTTGCAGAAATATTACTGTATTTTGCAAAATACTTGTATTATAGTTTGAGATCTGTATTTTGTAGGCCAATACAGGGTTATGCTACTAAATGTGTGTTATTCTCATTCTCTAAACTGAGGTAAAATAAAAGCAATTTGTACAACATTAGAAAATTGACAACTTAAAAACAGGTTTAGATAGATAAGATATTTTACTAATGTCAGGAAATAATGCTATGCTTTATAAAAAAGATTAGACTCAGAAGGCTTTTGAAACTAAATGAATGCGATAGGTAGTATTGGTTGACAAATAAGTGTGCTGAAAAGGAGAATAGGATTATATAAGCATCTGTTCAAATAACATCTTTGTACAACAGTGGCACTAAATTCCAAACACCCCAAAAGGATTACCAATATTCACAGAATTGAAATGTCTATTGTATCAGCACCAAACCATATAATAAATGTTTTGAAAGATTCAAAGTAGTCTTTACTCTGTAGAATTCTTGTTGTAAATACTGTAGGATACATACTTAAGGCGATAAAGTCCACATCCTGTTGTCTGCATAAACATTTTCACTGAATCTAAGTGCAGTCTGATTACTCTGTTCAACTTCTTGAAATAAGTACTTTGAAAGTTCCTTGACCAATAATAAAGAAAAAAGGGCACAGTTGCTCATTTTATTTCTAATTTTACAACTTTTCCTTTCCTTATACTTTAATAATTTGTCTACAGCCTGAAGAATGAACTATATTGTTGAGTTTTATGTGTATTTAGGAGATTTTAGAGGTTATACAAATGGAATTTGAGATTTTTGAGACATGAAAAATTTCTTAACATGAAAATACCTTTGCACTTGGACAAATCTTCAGTAAAAATCTTTCATTAAAACATTTGATTTTTCATGTACAAAAGACTTGTGATGTTTACTAAAAGTCTGCCAAATTTTGTGAACATACACATACTTTATTAAAAGTTATAGTATGGAAACTATAACAAGTACAAAGTTGTTACAAGGTTGGTCAATTCACCCGAACCCTTGTGGAGAGAGAGTTAAAGACCCTGTAACCAACAAAGTTAAGGATCCACAAAATGTATTTAAAAATCTGACAGTTAACATCTATGTAATTAAATATATAATGTATATGTGGGAAGCTTTTTAAACTTCATTAAATTATGCAAAAATGAAATTAGTAGTAGGGAATTATGGACAATGTCACCATATGAATAAAGGAAGGGTTGGTATGGATAGTACTTTTGCATTGCAAATGGAAAGGTATTTGGGGAATGGATCTGTCATCCTTCAAAACCCCATCTCAGACAGCAGTGTTTGTGTGTGAATTCTTCATTTGTTTTTAAACACTTATAGCAAATGTAACATCATCCTGTTGAGTTTTAATACTTGCCCCTGATACCCAGGTTTTGAAAACTTCGCTAGATCTGGTGTCTTTTACTAGATAAGTTCATCAGTTTGTAATTTCTGACCACACCTTTAGATTGAAAGTGTCTTTTGTACGTGTGTCTGATGGGTATCATGTGTTGTGGTATAGGTTTAACCTTGCAATCACCGAGATATCCCGCTTGGCCATAAGATTTTTCAGTTCTCTATGTACTTAATCTTTTAAGTGAGCAGTCTAGGCAAGACACTTAACTATTTTAATTACTTTAAGTACATAGCACTGCCTTTAGATTTAATAAACTTTGTGCATATAAACACAAAACACCACAACCTAAAAATGTTTTGTATGTGAAGCACAAATTATCCTCTTAGTTGGTAATTATGAGGTTAAAAAAAATAACTGATGAACATCTAGGTGTATTGCCAGCTATGATCAAAACTAGCAAAGCTGTGGGACTATGGCCCATATTTACAGGGATGTTATAATGATAATTTAATTTCTTTAACCAAGTTACAAATGGTAATTAGTAGGCCAACTTATTTACATTCTTGAATGTAAATCAATGCCAAATTTGTGGTCTGCTTACGGAGAATCCCCGTAAAACTGTTTTAACAAAATACCTGGGTTTCTTAGAGAGTTGGATGAAATATTTTACCTTTGTGCAAATCTTGGGACTGTGCTAATTTGTGTGGTACCACTTAGAAGTCAGTGTGACCCATAGTTTAAGAGGAGTTACATGACACACACACACAAAACACTGACTCTTATTATATTAATGATACACTTATCCTTTGATCCTTATTACAGTATTACATGAACAGTATAAACCAATTTGATGCATTGTTCCTTTGATTATACAAAAGATGCTGTTATATATAAAAGTTCAGGACAATGTAAAGCACTGTACCTTTAATTTTATACATGATTAGGGAATATATACAGTAGAGAATAATCTGGAGCATTCTATTTTTATTCTTTAAACAAGGTTCTATTATACAAAGTGCTTAAATTTTAACTTAACCCAACAGTAATTGTTGTACCTAATCAAAAACACCTTAGGTGTGAAAAAAAGTTGTGGCCAAAAAAAAAAGGGATTCAGCATGTGACTTAATGGAATGAAATCCAAATTGGCAACCAAACAGGTAGCTACACTTATAGCATTGATAAGAATTTTACAGCAAATTTTCATTCATTAGTTAGCCAGGCTGCATTTTTTGTTCAGCTTTGGACACGATGGTGGGTAAAAAAAAATTCCTTTAAGTCACATGCTGAATCCTGTATTGGCCAAAACTTTTTTCACACCTAAGGTATTTTTGATTAGATATCATGACACCAACAAACTGCACCAAATAAGAAAGTGACACTCGATAGCAACCAACATTAGCTTTAGGATCGCAACCTTATTATTTGGAACACTTTTACCAGATTCTTTAAAATATATGGTGATAATTTTCTCTCTCTAAAACAGTGTTATTAGATTCCTTTAACCTAACAACATGGAATTTAGATTAACAGTTTCTTGTCATCACCCCCATGCAATTGGTACAGCTGTATCATGCATCATTATTTATGCTAATTGCTTAAGTTAATATCATGTGGTGCTAAAGCTCTTTAATTAGGATAATTTCATAAAATTTAGTAAATTTGTGCTGAAAAATTGGCAATGAATAATCACTGTCCACCCATGATTGTTTTCAAAACTTGAACTATAAACTGCATATATAGTTTCATTGGCCTAACCAATACTTATGTATCTGCATGTCCTTTTACCCTCAGCCATCTATAATCTGAATGACAAAAAATTAAAAACAGTCCACCTTTACTTTTAGGTGAAGCTGTAGTAAAAATCTTTGACCAACAGATCATGTGACTTTTTGCATATGCATGCACAAAAATTTACATTAAATTTGAGTGGTTTTTATTGAATAACTTTGCACATGTGGCTTATATCTACACCAAAGAAACTCCTAATTGTAGTTTGTACAGATCTATCATTGAACCAAATTTGAAAAATATCCATACTTTTAGTGTGAAAAAAAAAAAGAAAATTGGAGATGTTTTTTCTCGGATATTTCTTAATGGATTGCCTTGAAATTTGATATGTGAAGTAAGAGTCCAATAGAGCACCTCCAATGAAAATATGTGATAGTTTGGATTACCACAGACTGAGCTACAGAAGATAGAAAATCGCTAAACTATCACTCCTGTTAATAACAGTGTGTCCTACAGGTTGTTTTTATGGCCACAAGACACACTACTGTGTGTCTTGATAATAGTAAAATATTTTTCTTTTATGTAAATTAACGTTGATACCATGTAATTCTTACCTATATTATATTACAATCAGTAAAAATATATCTTACCTAGGATATTGTGGTCCACAAAGAGTGAAGCATACATTCTTGTAGCATCCTTTAGAAAATGGGTTGTAGCCTCCTCGAAATTTTCCTGTGACCTTTACAAGATATGTGTATTACTATGATAAAACATCTTTCTTATACAGTTTTGAGTTTACTAACGTACGATATCAAGGTATTCATGAAAAGAAAACATGTAATAAACATACAACAAATTCACAAATGTCCTGGCTTCTGATTTTCTGTTAGTGAGAAAACCATGACAGATGTCAAAATCATACACAAATATTTGAAAAAGCACTAAATGTAAATACTTTTTGGAAAATCAAAAAAAAATTGATGCCAATAACTTTTTTTTTGTAACCTATAAAATTACTTGATAAAATTTGTTTCTTTCGCACAACTTTGTCACTTAACCATAAGTTTTACATGAAATCCTACAAGCTGAAGCCAGCATATCATTTATAATGTAGTTACATTAGTTCAGCTGAAGCATAAAATAATCATAACCAATAGCCATCATATAAAAAAATGAAATAATTTAACATATGCAACTCAGTCTTAATCCATTTGTTCATTACTGGTCTTTCTTCTTGACATTCTGATCAAACAAAATAAACATTACCTATATTTTATAAAAGTACAAGCAATTTGGAAGCATTTTTTTAAATATTAATCTCAGGCCCCAGCTTGTGAATAACTAAGCTCTTTTTTTACAGAAGCCTTGTTCACTACTGGCCCATGCTAAAATCTTAAACAAATGAGATTAGAAAACAATGTCACATTCTCTTAAGGCATGATAAAGTATCCTGGATTTAACAGTGAATCTTAAGTTAGTGTGTTTTTTTCACTTGTGTTATTTTAGTTTAATAGAACCAATGTAGCCTTAGTGAAAAAACCACAATAAACAAACCAAACTGTTTTTTTTTTTCACTAATTGCTGTACATGATATTGTGTTCTTTTATTATTACAATGTAGCTTTGATTACAGCAAGTACAAGTAAATTTAGAAACAAACAAGAAGGAATCCTCAATAGCCACAGTAGAATAAGTTAATCTGAGACCTTTTTTTCTTTTAGATAGGATTAGAGTAAATTAATTTACAAGATTTTTTTTCTTTTAGGCAGGATTAGAATAAATTAATTTACGAGACTCTTTTTTCCTTTTTGTTAGCTATACTTTTTTGTGGCAGTAATAACAAGCATGGGGTGAGTGTATACCCAATTAAATTTATTACTCATCAGGATCTCTACCAGCCTACCCTCAAACTTAAATTCTTTTAAGCAGGATTAGAGTAAATTAATCTATGAGGCCTTGGGTGTGGCCAAATACATCAATCAAAAGGGTTTGACCGCCTAAGTCCAAAACTGTAATTAGATCTCAAACTGGTCAAGAGATGATGGACCTATAAACTAAAAGTTTGTACTTGAAAAAAAAAACAACAAAAAAAAAACTCAAGAACCATACTGAGCCTCTATACCCCAGCCTAAAAGATGTATAATTATATTCTCAAGGGATGATAGTTTCTAAGCAAATATAAACCCATGTTATGTGATGGGCACAAAATTTTTAAACAAATCAATAAATGCATTGTTTGCTAGTGAGACTACTCAAAGCTGAGCAGTAATGAAATTTTGAATATTCTTTATTTTTCTTTGCAAACTATATAAAATAAATTATATGAAATGATAAAATCAATTGTAAAACATTTTTGATTTAAAAGTTGTTGAAACAGAGTTAGAATCATTATTTTTACTTATATTTTGAAATGCACTCAACATCTGGATGATGCTCTGCAGTCTAAAAAAAAATTAATCACCAAAGTCTTGACATCTGAATTAGTAACTAATATTAAATATTTTGGCTTCACTACTGTAACTTAGCTGTTTGACTTAATCATCAATACATTGTTTTTTGATCTATTCATTGTGAATAATATATCTGATTTAAACACTATTATTATACTGTTCAACTTATTCAACATAAATAAACTACCTTAGTTATACACTAAGCATCAATCATAAACAAACTACTGATTAAACTATTTAACTTAATCACACAAGCACACCATAAATGTTTGAAATAAACTCCTATATTAAGTATCTAACTTCATCATCAATACCATATTGTTGACTTCTACACAGACTGACATATTCACCTACACTAAACTAAGAATTAGTCAGTATGATGTTGCTACTCAACTTAAATGCCAATACTATCAGGTCATCCCTTAAGTTCTGTCCGGATTTTAATTCTTTGAAATTCACTAGTAATTTAGAATGTTTAATGGAAATAAAAAATATTTATATATCATACTTATGTATTTGGGCATATTTAAACTTATTAAATTTTATTTTACAGAATAAAGTATTTCAAATTTCACTGATTAAAGTTCTTTGAACAT